CAAATGTTACAATAGACACAGAACTCAAGATAATTGATACAAGTATATTGTCGACTTTTCTTAAATAGCTTATCTTTGTTGACTAACTATACATGCATTCATATTCTTTTCTTAATTTTACACATACCTAATAAAGATATCTATGATAGCAAATTTTAGTTCTCGGAACTAATATATTGGCTTGTTCAGGGGTATATGCATTGAGCATATACCAGATTAACCCTCCCTTCTGATAATATGCATTTCATTTTAAAAAGTAGTAAAAAAATTGAATGAATGAAATCTCAACCACGGCCCGATTTCACACAGTACAACAAAGGCATTGTCCGAATTGGAGAATGTGCTAACAACTCTTAAGATCTTTCATATAACAATGAAATCTGCAACCATTTGAAAAATTAACCACACACATCCCTTCCTCCCCCCATCCCAACACCATAGAGATGTTCAAGAAGAGATGGCTTACACTAGACGATTATTATCGGGAATTTCTGCTGGCATCAAAGTAAATACAGACAAGAACCAACACGCAACACAAACAAAGATTGGTATGCCAGATCTCCAAGGAATCAATTTTAAAAGATAAAGGAAGGATATGACCCCAGAAACCAGGAAACACCAAGTGTATAGCTTCCTCTGAGTAAAGCTATTCACCTGCAGAAATTGCCAAAATTACACTGTTCAGAATTTTAGAGTACCAATTTAACATGGCTTGCAGCATGAAAACTTATAATTTTGATTCAATACCAGGAATTCAAGAATGAATACTGAGAAAACACCAATGGCTAGAATTTTAGCAAAGTAATTGATTCTTCTTCCATATAACTCTTTCCATAATGCTTTGATGAACCGATATTCACTAAAAATTTGTGTCCACAGAAATACTGTCATTGATGTGTATGCATGGTAAAGAGGAGGAGAATGCTCCTTAAACAGTATAATACAAAGTAGTCCCAGAAAAAGGCATCCACAAAGTTGTACCTACAATAAATAATGAGATTCATGAGTTATGTTGTATAGCTAGAGAATATAAAAACCCTTATAGACATCCAAATCTCATATATTCCCAAACTTCTACTTTAGCTCCTTTTTTTCTTTAAAAAAATCTGTATTTGTGAACTCCTTTCAATTTGAAAACCACTATTAAAGCTTACAAGAGGTCAAGCTTACACAAAAATTACTTTTCTGGTATTATCTGTCTGATGATCTGCTTGCTCCTTTCTAAACATATACCCTGCCAATGAAGTATAAGATTGCAGCACATGGAGAACAATATAGGTCATCCAACCAATATACCCAAGAATAATTACAGTCATGAGCATCAGCCAATCGTAAGTTTGAAAATAGTGAAGTCCTTGCAACGCCAAGACTCGGAGATCTTCAGACAGCTTCCTTGCAACTGCATAGTCTCTAATGGATATTAGATCCTCAATCTTATCCAATAGGGAGGAATAATCGCCCAGTGGTTTGAAAGGCTTGAAATATAACGAATTTGACTGCTTCGTCTCTAATTTTGTCAAGAAATCGAAGATTACTAAATATGCAGTCTCTACCTACTTTAGTTCCTCAAAGCTTCAGTAGAATTGAATATAGTGAATATCCTTAAAAACACTATTGTTTATATCTTTATCTTATAAACACTCTTTATTCATCACTTAGATATATAATCATATGACAAAGGATACGTGATTTCCGAAGAAACTGGTTGAGAATTTGCTTTGTGTTGGCAACCACAGCTTCAACTTCATCTTCCTGGACAATGAAACAAAAAGGAAATCTCAGTTGTCTAGCCATTTAAAATCTAGTTGAACCAGCAGAACTAACCAAATAGAATATACATATGCTGGCGAATATATAAGGGATAACATATTTTACATCCTTTAAACCAAAGACAAGAAATCCACCTTCAAACCAGTTGACTATACCTTTATCATGTCTATGTAATCAAGGGGTAAACTTCCAACCGAGTTTACAGGACATGGCAGACCAAGAAGAGTTGACTGCCAGAAAAATCAATCAGCAAATAAGAGTGAAAAACTTGAAGGTGTTATAAAGGGAAAAAACTCGAGAAAACAAATTGGACAACCATGAGAGGTGCAATATCTGCTTGATTAACATCCACCCTTTCAATGCCATGAAGGCCCCATTTTGTAGGTGTTGGCGTGTCATGCATATGTTCATCAACAAAACGAAAGCCACAATCAGAATGATTGCTGCTGGAGACTGGCTTGGGATGTTTAACACCTGCTCCCCAAACAACAAGGGGAGTATCCGTGTTTGAAGGATGCCCATCTCCATGGCTTCCTATCAGTAAAATAATTACATGTAAGAACCGTTATAAGGGAAGAAATGATGTAGGATCAAACTTATAATAATTCAGTGAAAAAAGTGAAGCAAAAAATTTCTAAAGTAAAAGAAAACCCAACCTTTGTCATGCATTCCATGATCAGCAGTAAATACGTACGATGTACGATTGTCCCTGTAATAATCCTCAAGAAGATTATAAACCCTTTCAGCTATACTGTCAACAACCGCAACATTATTGAGATAAATGGACGAATAGGGCCTATGCGCATGACCATTTGAATCACAGCCAAGTAGGTGCAAAAATACGACAAGATTATCCTGTAAAAGTAACTCCTTCAACTTCGGGTCTTCTTTGGACCTATTCAGAAGTCCCTTAAATTGATCAAAAGACCACTCATCCAGAAAGGAAGCATCTGCATTAACACATACAAATTGGTAAAGCATTAGCTGAGAGAGTGAGAACCACAGAACAGAGTGTACAGCAGCAGTATCTTTGTACCCAAGGCATTATCACGTCTATATTTGTTTAAACCATTAGCGTTGAAGGAAAAAAATAATAATAATAATCACTAAATATGTAAACTTTAATAGTAGAAATTGCAAATTGAAAAGTAAAAACAAAAGAACAGAGATACCAGTAGCGAAGTCTTCAAAGTCATGAGGGTAACTGTTCCAGGTGGTGTGAGGCAAGCCAGCACAGAAGATTGGAACTATATCAGGACTACCATAAGAGAAAGTATGCCGGCTTCGGTTAAATACCGAATCAAATTCAACAGGATTAGCTTTCCAGCCTGCGAAACGAATTGGGTATCTTCAGTTAAGCCATTTCGTCTGTATGAATGCGAAAAAGAAAAGGAAAAGAGAAAAGAGAATCAACCTTTCGTAACAGCACTGGGATCTTCATAGAACCCAGCAATTATAGAAACGTGTCCAGGCCTTGACTCAGTGGGGGGACGAGCATGTGAAACTCCCCACCGACCCTTCTCTTTGATCACGCTTCTTAAAAATGGAGCTCTGAACTTTCCTTCAGAATCGGACTCGAAGAATTTGTCAGCTCGCAGACCATCAGCTGCAGCACAGGCTCAAAAGCTTTAAAGCAAACTCAAGCAAGAAACAGAGTAAAGTTGAGAAGGAAAATGGGCGTACCGACGAGTAAAACGAGGCGTTTTGCAGGGGCTTTGAAACGAGGGGTAACGAGATCCATGCCATGAACAATGGGGGACTTGAAGTAGATGTCGAAAATGCTGAGCATATAAACGGCGTGCAGAACAACGCCAAGTACTACAAGCCATTTCTCTTTCCTCTTCAGCCATGTCCTTCTTCTTCTCTTCGCGTTTGCTTTTACGTTGCTTCCTTCTCCTAACTCTCTCTCTTCACCGCCCATCTCTCGCTTCTCTTGTTTTCACTCCGCCGCTTTCCCTCCGTTCCTCACAAACGTCGTTCAACGCTTCCCTCTTACTCTTCTCTGTCTTTTTCCTAGGCTTCTCCAGAAAGAATTTCGGCCTATTTATCCATTGGGCCTCGATTCTGGGCCCAGTTACATATAGGGCCGAGGCCCAGATGAATATGTGATTTTATATTAATATCGACTTCTTAATTAGTCAAAATAGGAAGTTTTGGAGGAAAATCTGCTAGATGAACCTCAACAACTCCCTAATCTGGCTAACAAACTTTTTGCTCCCTACATTTATGGAGAGAAAGTGGCTCGTTTTTCTCCTCTGCCGTTGTTTTTCTTTTCTTCGGCAAGCATTTTGGCTTCCTCTTCCTCTGTACTGTTGCACACCAAATCATCTCTTTTTTTTGTCAAAAATTTCGTATTTCGACGACAACAACAAAAGATAATGAAAATTTTAAGGTTATTTTAGCTAAATTTAGTAAGAAATAAAAATAAGATTAATGCTACTTTTCTCCAAACTTATGAGTACAATATAAGAGGCTTGTAACTCAAATAGTTAAGATGAGTTACCCATACACACTCGAGATCATGCGTCCAAATTTTTCTTTTTCAATATCGCTTGTATAAATAAATAAAACCAAAACCGCTGTGTATAACATAGAATTAATTTAATACCATATATATGGAATTTCTAACATTCAGATACTGTTACACATCGATCAGAAGAGCCAACAACAACAGCAACACGAACATGATAATCTTTCATGAAGCATATAGCTTGGGACAAATTAAAAGAGATACATAATGAAGCCCAAAACACCAATCAGAATCGACGGAACTGATGTAATGACATGAGTTGGTGCTGCAGATGGGCTAGGAGCAGCTTCAGGAGTACCAACAGCTGCTGAAACAGCCAGCATCAAGCTAGCAATTGCAACCCAAATCACCATGATAGCTGCAACCTTTTGGTTCTGGAAAGCCATTTCTATAAATATATATGTGATGATTTATGATCTTGTCCAAGTAAACAATTGACTGGTTTGCAATTCCTTGTGTTGGTTCTCACCAATTTATAAAGTCAAATTCCCTAGCCAAGCTAGCTTTTTCTCTGTGTCCTTTTCTGTACGTAATTACTGGCCAATTTCACTGAAGCCAGTTTCTATGTTTCGAGTTTTGTTCTTCTGGGTAGCAGACAGGCACTTGGGTCCAGATATTATTATTAGCAAAAGCAGATCAGATGGGAATGAGTTGTAGTGATGTGATTTGCTGGACTGCAGGTGACAATTACAAAGAATGCTCATCACGAATAGCCACCTTGTTTTTTTGCGTTCAATATTTCTGCTTGAACTAATAACAGCATCAATCAATCTACTTTCCCATTGGGCAAGGCAAGGGTTCCATCAAATCCATATAAATAATTATAAAAACTTTATTATTTTATGTCCAAATAGCAATATATAGACTTCAATTTTCATGAATTGACTTTGATTAACTAATTACATAAGCCATTGACACTGGACAATTCAATATGATTAAATACTTTGGGCCTATCTATCACCCATATAATAAATAGATGATGAAATTAAGTAATACATAACCCATTTATTTTGTGGCATCTGTGAATCAAGTCTCACAGTACTTATTAATTACATCGATCTCGTGCTTAATTAATTAGTTGATCTGAGGATTAATTAATCAAGGGCACTTTTGTCCGTGGTAGTTCATATTGGTGTAGCATTTGCCACATTTGTTTATGTTGCTGCTGTTATAATATCCCGGAGGAACACATTTACAGCGGCCACAGCATGCCATACATGATCTCCTGCAGATCTTCTTATTTGTTTCTATTTTGCACCTCTTGTCACACAACGAGACGCAATCTCCATGCCCACAAAATTAAATTAATTAAATCAGCAAAAAACACATAGTAATTAACGTTATTGATCCAAAAGCACATTTCTATTTAATCTTTTCATGAAATTGGACACGTCCTTACCCCGGTTGGTCTTAACTTGGGGAGCAGTGAATGGCATGGCCACAGGTACCCCGGTAGGAGCCGCTTCATTCATCTGACGTGGCGATGGTGGTGCCCTGAATACTGGATTCCCTTTACGAAAACTACCGTAGCGTACATACCGATCCTGTTCGTAAACTAATGTGATGAACCGATACCCAATAGAACAGTAATAAACTGTAGAAAATTAACACTCAATATATATGCATGGTTGTTGATATAATTAAAGATATGTAATGCCTTTATGTTGAGTTCCTGATCATGAGGACCATGATTACATGAGACCTAGACAGATGAACCAATTCAAAACTTTTGTGGAAAAATAATAAAGATGAATTAAAGATAAAAATGAAAATTTATAATTAATTACCTCTGCAGAAACTAATAGAACAGAGGCAAACAGAAGAAGCATAGCTTTGAAATCCATTTTGTACATATATATTTAGCTAGCAACAAGAACATGGTATAAATAGTGTTCAAATTAGGTGGAGAGATAGGTTTTTGAAGTGTCATGTGACAGCTTCTCCGATCATGAGACATTAGTAATGGCTTGCCGACCAAAATCTGACTTGAGAGTTCTCCAAGGACGGTGCCCATGCACCAAACTAAACTCTTAGATCCATTTGCCATTAGAGTATGTGTTACAATCCGTTTGATGATGTCCTTCACACGAGGCCTGCCTTACCAAACTTGTAACCCAGAAGCTGAAGTTTCATGAATTTCGTGGTTCATTGCTTGCCTGTCTGACCATCCTGGGTTGGTAATAACTTATATATCTGATAAAAAGATCGCATTTTTTAGTTCGTGTTACGAGATTATATTATCTTCTAATGAATAATTCATGTGAGGCTCTGCTTATATGTAATGAGTTTACGAGATGTTCTTGGCATGTCTAGAAAAGATATTAAATAATCAATTACTTAATTGTAATTGATTTGTATTTTTTATATATAAAAAATGATTTACATACAAAATACAAATCAATTACTCGTCTCAAATTTGTGGCGGTGGAATTTGCACAAATAATTGATTTTATATATGTGTATTCCTCTTTCATCACAAAATTGGTTCAATTTTTTATGTTCAACTATTATTTAATTGGGGTCTTTAGATATAGGTCCAATTTTGAGTTTGCACTATAAATCACAAGGGCATAATTGGAACATGAAAATAAATTTAAAAATAAAAAATATATATATGATTACATCATAAAATTATAAAAGGAATGTAATCCTATGTGGCATTGAAGTCAGAGGACTTGGATTATTAACAATATGTGAAACGACCCGACCCAAATTCCACTTTGAAATCCGGGCCGAATCCAGTTTTAAATTGACACCTGGTAACTGTGGATCGTAAAAGACGAAAATGCCCTGGAAGCGATAACACAAACTCTGGGGCCCTGTCTCGTGGCTGCGCCTGGGAACTGTAGGCTGCCTACGTACCCTTTCTGGGGGGTCCAGCCACACC